CGAGATCCGTCGATTTCGAGACTCTCCAGCAGCACGCAGCATTCGGCATTTTAATTATAATGTTTTAACGCTCGCGAATATGCATATGCGCACGTACTTACATCTAGTAACATAGGGATATAATATCTAGTGATGTCTGAAATCAGACAAGTCGGCCTCCCGGTCTATAATAATATATTGTTAATGTTCTAAAATAGATCCGGACGTTACAACTGTCTCCAGTATAGTTTCAATACAGTCAAAAAGAACAAACCTAACTTAACCTAAAATAAGTTTGTCTAACACATCGTTGAGTCGTACTACTTAAAAATAAGCCCCGAACTGTAATTACAATGATATAACAGTAATATTATCAGTAATGCAATAAAAATGAAACGCACGTGGTCCGTTATCGTTCAATCGTGTATTCTAAGATATCATAGGTAAGAAATTAATGTCAGAACATAAGATCTGTTTTATATAACTCCGATAAAATACGATCTATCGATAAAATACGTAGTAAACATAAGAATAAGAAAAGGTAGATTTTTTTCAAAATGTAGAGTTTCTTTTCTACGAAATGCGAAAAAAATATTCTTACCATTTAATTTAAAGTAAAATCTTTATTAGATTTAGAATGACAAAGTGATTACATTTCAGCCTGCAGCCAGCAAAACGTGACATTAGCACAATGGCAAATCCACTAATTGCAGTGTGTCAGATGCGATCAATATCTGATAAAGTGAAAAATTTGGAAGTTGTCACCACATTAGCAATGGAAGCCAAACGTAGATCAGCTGCAGTATGTATATTTGGTAACAAATAGTAACATTCTATATCCTATATTATACTATCATAATTTCTATAATATATAAAATAAAATACTTTACAGATAGCATTCTTTCCTGAAGCTTGCGATTACTTGGCAGAAAATAAGAGAGACATTGTTGCCATGGCTGAACCTTTGACTGGGCAGACAGTGACATCTTACAAAGAAATTGCTGCTAAAAATAATATCTGGTTATCCTTAGGTGGAATTCATGAAGCTGTAATGCTTTAGCTTATACCAATGTGTATAAATATCACAAAAAGTGAAACGATAGACCTGTTCTTTTTAACTGAACTTGTGTTGCACTGATACTTCATTCTTCTCTTTCCCTTGATGTTAACTTATATTCTTGTTTCAAAAAAATGATAGATGCAACCTAGTCCAGCTAAACATAAACAGGCTTTATTATCTCCTTAATATACTCCTTGCAGAGCAATAAGAAGTTAATGATATTATTAATCATTTCAGTTGCCAGATGATGCACAGAAGATTCAAAACACACACATATTAATAAATAATGAGGGACAATTGGTAGCTGCATATAGAAAAATACATTTGTTTGACATGGACAACAAGGATACTGGAGTACGTCTGATGGAGTCAGACTATGTTCTGAAAGGAACCGAAATTGTACCACCCGTGTCTACACCGATCGGCAACCTCGCACTCAGTATTGTATCCTTAATTAAATTTCAAATTCCAGAGTCGAAATTTTGATTCTATTTTCAACTTCAATATTCCACTTAACTAACACCTACTTTGATATATTTTAAGTCTATATCAACTTCTTTTGATTTATTAACTTTACTGTAGTCTTCTGTAAAACCTGCACAACATATTGAAAATCTGCATTTTTTGGCATTTAAAGACACTAACTAGGACTTCAATTTCTGACAATATATAAAGCTGATTTATACCAACATACATAACGTTGTTAAAAATGTGTTTCTAATAGTGTTATTGGCAAATGTTGATTGTCTCATTTAAAATTGCTGAAAACGATTGTTACAAAACAAGTTACAAAACATTGTCGTTTTCCACATTGTTAAAAGCATATTTTGTTAAAAACATTCAGTAAATCATTTTCTGGAGAATATAGTTTTATTAAAAACACTTTTGTTATTAGCTTTTTGCTTTTAACATTGTTACTGCTACTTTTTTTTTATATAAACATATCTTTAAATTGATCTTACAGAATATAAAGATATTATAAAGTTCGGGAGAGGGTCGAAAATAGAGTTAAAATTTCAACTCAAATTTCCTCACAAGGACAAGAGTCAGTAATGCTTAACATAGAATTCAGTGTTATGATATGCGGTTTCCCGAGTTGTCCCTGACCCTGCGCAACATGGGGGCACAGATCCTCACGTATCCTTCGGCCTTCACGTATCAGACTGGTGCCGCACATTGGGAAGTGATGCTGCGAGCACGAGCCGTAGAGAATCAGTGTTACGTCGTAGCCGCGGCCCAAACTGGCGCGCACAACAAGAAAAGAGTGAGTTGGGGCCACGCCATGGTAAGTTCAAGTACTCCTTTCTTCTGATCAGTGATAGTTCTTATCGATTATCATTAGCGCATTCCTGTGTTAAAAGAAGTGTCTTTCTCTACAAGTATTAATCTTTTTCAGATCGTAGATCCTTGGGGAGCCGTTGTGGCACAGTGTGCTGAGAAAACGGGTATAGCTACGGCAGAGATCGATCTCGACCTATTGGAGAAAGTTAGAAAAAACATGCCATGCGAGGAACACCGTCGCACCGATTTGTATTCTAAAATGGAATGTCAAAAGCCCATTTAACATAATTCTACGCAAGGATTTGCATAGAATAAATATGAGATGTAATATATTTAATTATATATATCGCAATTGTTCTTAGTGTATAGATTTATATATTTGAGATACAATATATAACAAATCATTATTCTTATGGACTTTATAATTACAATCGATACTGTTATTACATTGTTAAAAGTAAAATTGTTGTACTTTGTTTATCACTTAATTTATTTAAAAAAAAAACAATATTCCTGATTTGAATGAATGCGCTGCAAGTTGCTACTTAAGATACAAATAAATAGATCCTTTATCTGAATTTTTTAAATAATTTTATCACTATAAAGATCTCAATTTGCTCTGCCTTGATGATATATACTGTCAGCTGAATCAGACTTTGATTGGGTGCCCATTAATTCAGCATCTACTCCCTGTAATGCCCAGTTATGTTCACAAATCTCTAATGCTTCCCATTCAGACTTGAAAGCTGCTTTTGGATCAGGTGGCATTGACATTGCAGCACCTGACACTTGATCTTGCAACAGTCTCGAAGTATCTGCAGCATTATTTTCGCCAAGCACGAGTGTATATATAGATCTCAATCCAAATACATTGAGAAAATACCACGAAGCTGAAGAAACCCATGCAGCATCCAATGTAACCAACTCTATACCTCGTTGCAACATTGGCTTGAAACGCAATGTTAGTGGAAATGGTACTTTGGCTGAAATAAAAGTATTATAAATTAATTAAAAATAAAAATTTATCTTCATATTTGTTAAGACAAACTGATTTTCTTTTGATGTAATCACAATTTGTTAGAAGAATTAATAAGTTAATGTTTTAATATAACTAGTTTAAGTTGAAAGTTGATTCAATTAAAATTAAATAAGTTGAAAGTTATTAAATTTTTATCTCAACTTTTGACTTAACTGATTAACTAATAATTATCTAATGTTCACATTGGATCTATCATATATAAATTGTTTCAATAACAACATTTGAACTATTATGATATGCCTTATAGGTTTTATGATGTCAACAATCCTAAGACTGAGCACTGCAACCATCAGTCACAGAGATTACACAAATAATACCAATTATATATCATACACTCACTTGTCACAAATCCTGAGAACATCCAATTGATCCAACCACCTATCAGTACCATAGGCAACACATTAGTCACATTTCCTTTCAACATATCTGTCATCATATTTGGATCAGTCATGGGATTTTGGGAAACAGGTGCACGTTTCTGAGTTTTAAAGTACCCAGTTTCTTCATTATTGAAAAAGTGTCTTCTAGTCATAAATGCTACCTTTGGTATGTATTGTCCATTTTCTCTGAGCAGCCTAGAGCGTATCATGACCTGACTGCGGAGGATTTAAAATTATAATCAATAACAATTTTACATGAGGAACAAAATATTATTTCAAACAAACTAATTCACCTGTCTTGCACTTGATGCAATTCGACCTTCTTCTGCGAGGCGAGCAATATCGAAACATAGTGGCGAACGATACCGACGAGGAATGTAATTACTACTATGGGTAGGAACACCCAGCCACGAATATTCGGATCCAACAGCAATTCGGCCATAATTTTATCGAAGCTCTATCACGTATATAAATCTACTTAAGAGAACGAAGAGAAAAATGAAACACGAGCAGCAATCATTGCTGTTTCACGATTACAGATTATATAGAACAGAGACAGCTAGTTTTTTATTGCGCTCCCCGATTAGCTGCATTAGTTTTCCACCGATAGTCTGTTCTTTTTAATTGCTGAACTGATGCAATAATGGCTCCTGCACACAGGACGCGGTAATGCTTGCCGCGCGGCGGAAGTTCGCGCGACAGCCAATCAATATGTTGTTTTCCGTAATAACCTGTTAGCTCTTACGGAAAAACAATATATTGATTGGCTGTCGCGCGGACTTCCGGCAAGCATTAATAGCGTTTTTCATTGGCAGAATTGGTGCGCACTGAGTGTGCACAAGGCTTGTTCACAGTATGTTATTATATTCAAAGATTATCTTAAATAAGAAATAAATTCTCAAATATTTTTATCCAGTAGTATAATATGTATAACATCCGTATGAATCATTTTATTATCTAAAATATTTTTAAATATGTATTTAAGACACGATCTTAAATATGAAAATGTATTGTAAACAAGCCTTAGTGTGCATTCAGTGCGCACCAGTTCTGCCAATGAAAAACGCTATAAGCTGGCCACACATACTTTTCGTAACAGTAATCGTAAGACGTAAGTAAGAATTGACCAATTGCAATCGAGTATTCATAAAAATGGCGATCTTACAATTCGACGATTCTTAACATGATTGGTCAATTCTTACGTTATGTTTTACATTACTGTTACAAAAAGTGTGTGTGGCCAGTTTACCGCGTCTTGTGTGCAGAAGCCATAAATTTACACAGCTTAAAACTGGTTTAGTAACAACCGTATTTAGTAAACTCTCGCATCCGATTGGTATATTCTTTTAGATTTAGAAATATACTCCAATCGGATTCAAGAGTTTACTAACTACGATAGTTACTAAACCGGTTTTAAGTTGCCGTGTAAATGTTAAGTTTACTTAGTCAATGTTTACACCGTGCGTATTAAATATTTAGTACGAATTTGATACGAATGGCTTGGTTTACGCGTCCTGTGTGCAGAAACCATTAGAGCTGCGCTCGCTTTGGGCGTTTACGCGCTGTAATGGAGGATTCACACCGCGTCCGATGTCCGCTGTACGACGTCCGGTATTCAATAAAAGAATAACTTTCCAATGGAAAATTGAATTCTCTATTAGAAAGCTGTTCTGCTATTGGATATCGGACGTTGTACATCGGACATCGGACGCGGTGTGATGGCTCCTGGGGGTCGATTGTGTATTTCAAAACAGAGTGAAAATGGGTGAGTTCAGAAGACACACTGTTGCACAACGGTTGAGTAATTAGTCAACATAATTGGTCTAACAGTTAAGGATCTAACAGTAAGGACCAATAATCACTGACCGCTCACTGATCAGCTATGTTTTCTGAACGCAGCCAATGACAAAAGTGAGCAAATTTACTAGAATATTTGTAATTTCATTGGTCAATGCCAAGTGAATTTGTTCACTTTTGTAATTTTCACTTCGTTTCGAGATACACAATCGACCCCCTGCATACAGGACGCGGTAATGCTTGCCGCGCGGCGAAAATCCGCGCGACAGCCAATCAATATGTTGCTTTTCCGTAAGAGCTAGGGTTATTACGGAAAGCAGCATATTGATTGGCTGTCGCGCGAACTTCCGCCACGCGACAAGTATTACCGCGTCCTGTGTGCAGGAGCCATGAATCCTGCATAAGCGTCATTCTATCTTTATCGTTCATTACATGCGGAAAGAAGATAAAATGACGCTTACAGCGCATAAGCGCCCAAAGCGAACGCAGCCTAGGTAGCCTATTAGCAATCTAGTTTAGTACAGACATCTATGGAGAAAGAGAGAAAGACAGGGGAAGAGGAACCCCCGCCGGCTTCACTGTCGCCATCCCACTCCTCCGGCGCAATCCTCCCCTCGTCCGTCGGCAGCGCGTCGCTGGCTTGCGCGTGATGCGATTCAGTTCCGCTGGCGCACCGTTACGGGAGGTGAGGTGATCCGCCGTCACCGTCGCGCGAGCGCCCGTCCGGCCGTCAGAGTGCCGCCGCCGCCGCCGCGAATCGGGCCGAAGTGTCGAGAGAGCGAGCGAGAGAGCAAACGAGAGAAAGAGAAAGGAAGATAGATAGAAAGAAGAAAGAGCGCGTACGATACGCACGTACTACGCGTCGCGCGCTAGAAAAGTTCCCGGGCGCCGGACTTCTGCGAGTCGCGCAAGTAATGAGTGAGTGAGTTGACTAACAAGAGCCAGGGATCAAGCGACCCATCGCCGCCGCCGACGACGACTACACCCGCGCGACGACGCATCATCATGGGCCTGTGAGGGCGGCGTTGAAGGAACGGGCCCCAAGGGGAGGATCGCCGAACCGGGCGAGGACGACGGGCAGGAAGAGTCGGTTGGAGGAAGGGTAAGCGGGGGAGGCCGCTACCTGTCGCGGGGAACCAAGCCGAGAAGCGCAACTTGCCGACGCAAGTCTCGCAGGCAAGCAGGCACGACCAACCAACCAACCGACCGGCTGTCACGACCGCCATGTTATCCCGGAGCAGCAGCGGTGTTACGTCGTGCATGCCGTCGTTGGCGCCGCTGCTCTGCTTCCTCGTGCTCGGCGCCGCCGGCCTCGACGAATCCGGTGAGTCGATGATGTATATTTCGCCGGGGAAGGGTAGGGAGGAGAGGACGCGGGAGCGTCGTCGCCGACGAGGCGCGTCCCCGCGAGCATCCATGGGTCCGTGCCCGTTGCTGCTGCACTCTCCGACACTTCCTGCACTGCGAGCGAAGGGGAGAGGACGCGAGGATGGAAGGGAGAGGATGGGAACGTTTTTTCTTTCTCACTTTTCATTTGTTTTTCCTCCTGAGAGCTGGATGACGGGATTATTTTGATTTATAAGGATCTCGCCCGGTTTCTCTCCTCTTCGAACCGGTCGGAGACGTTACGCGCAGCGCTCTCCGTCGATCGCACCCCGGTGTGATTAATCCTTTTCCCCTTTTTCAATGAAGGAGGAGACGAGGTGACGCGAGAGACGGAAACAGTTCGGATTGAGTGTAATTGACACATCGGCGCTCACGTTTCCTGGAGACTCCCGAAGCACACACCTGCGCGATGTGTCGTGCGATACGCACGGCGACGACGTCGACACAGCCGGGAAAAAGCACGTGGAAAATCGCGCGTTTCTCGTGTGCGACGGATCAACAGCGATTGGAAGAGGTCGAGTTTTGTAACACCGAGAGTCGGGAGTCTTCCTTCGAGGCGCGGCAAGAAATTCGCGGGGACACACTTTAGTTGGAATTGCAAAAATAACATTTGTGTCATGCGTTGGGATTTACTACCACTTGATACATACGAACGCGCAGCGCAAAATTCGAGACTTCGCACGTAAATCAAAACCGGATCTCGAGAATCGAGATTTGTAATTTGGTTATCGATTAAAATTAAGGCATACACGTTTAAATGCTAAAAGAATGTTTGCGATTTCTTTTCCGAGAAATCGTTAAACGTAAGACAAATATCTGTGCAAATAAAAGTACATATCTGTAACTATTATTTGAATTTTTTTCTTTATTGGATAACAGTGAAAATTTTTGCATAACTACAGTTATTCGCACGGATCATGTTTGTAAAAACACGATTTCGGCGCTAAATATTCGTGCAAAAATCAACTAAAATCAATAAACGATAAATTTGTATAATTTATGTAAATGAAACTGGAAAAAGAGAGAAAGTCTTTGCCCATTTTCGAAATATTATTTTTTCACAAAACGATAGCCATTATAGTTTTTTAATACAATTTTAAACTCTCACATCTTTCTAATACTAAACTATAAGATCAAAATTTCCACTTGGCTGCTTTCATTTACAGGAATCTCCCGATTCCTTACGTTTGACAGTCACATGGAGAAAGAATTCAAGAATCGACCGTTTCTCCCAGCTTCTAAATGCACATGTCCTGCCGTGAAGCATTGCGAATTCCTACATACAACGGCGACAATAAATCCTGAATGAAACATCCGCGGAGAGAAGTGGCTTGCATTTTCCGTCGAGTATCTTTCTCCCGGCGGACTACATCGTTTCTCGCGGGAATGTGACTAACATTGTTCCACCCAAGTCGGATAACTCTGTGGTTGAACTATATCGCGCCTTGCCCGACACTAATTCCGCTCTTAATTCCTGCTATTACTTATCTACTTAGCGTGCCGATCCGCTCGTCCGGCGCGCACTTGGTTTGGTCTAGCCGCGCGGCTCGCTTTTCGCGCGAGAGAGCTTAGTGTGTGTGCTGGCATTGACAATTAGGCCGAAATTATAATCGTCCGACGTGAGACATGCGGCTGAGTCTCGCCGACGACGCGGTCGCCAGGTGGTTGCCGATCAGTCGCCGTTTACGCGCCAGTTTTCTACCAGGAAGACTGCGCACTTGCGGATGAAAATAACCATTCGCGAAAACGCGAGCAGTTATAAAACTCCTCGTGACCGCGACTCGCTGACGTTGTCGGCGTTGAATTTGTTCAGAGAACGCGTGTTCGTGTATGAATTTATTATGCGGCATGCTCGATAACAGTCTCATGCGCGCGCGCGCAGAATATTTCATGAAGAATCTATCGGAACTTAAAGATCTCTGTCACAGGAATATGCATGCATGACTTTAAATATTCGAAAACGGCGTTTTCATCCTCTCTTGGATGACCCGCGGAGATTAATTGATTCCATTAAGATTGATTTACAGAACAACTAACTAGAACACCTGAATTCACTAATGATGTCTCAAGTCGCTATATATTTACTTTTTTATCCGCGTACATATTGAGATAATATTGATCTCTTCTTTTTCTTTTCTGTTTTACTGTGTTTCTTGCAGTACAGGAATAGGCTGTCAGTAAAGATTCGTCTTGCTGAAGAACAAGATAAATTTCGCTAGAAACATACACGGGAGGAAACAGTTTCGTTGTATTACGTGAAACTCAGCTGTAATGAACGAATCAATGCGTTCTGGTTGAAAGAAACGAAATTTCTGGATTTTGAGACTAAATTTGGATCACAGGAATAAAAAATTCTGTGTCCTTCAACCAGAACGCGTTTGTTCTCGTTCATTAAGACCAAACACCGTTAATACAAGCTAATTTTTTTCATCATGTAGCAAATTTTTTTAATATAACATGACATAACATGAGAGAATATTCAATTACTGCAGAATGTTGATTTATCCCGCGATTGCAAAATACTATAGTAAATTTTATTGCAATTTTATTATAAAATTCTCTGTATATTCGTCTAATTAAGCACATCTGCTTGATAAGACCAAGTGATTCTTCAGGAAGGAATTTTATAGCGAAAATTGCTATAAAATCTTATTTAAATATAATTCGCTTATAATATTATTTTCAAATTATAATATTCTTTCCGCGTAGCTGCCATATTGGAAAATCTTCTCCTCTCTTATTTTTCTTCTAATTAACATCAGAACCATAGCGGTCAAAGTAACGGGTCTGTGAATTCTTATAAAAATTATTCCGTCTTACAACGCTGTATTTCTAATTGACACGTGAATAAAAAGAATGAACCAACATTTTCCCCCTGCGTTAGGTGTTTTTGTCAAAAATCCGTCATCTTGACCAGAAATAGATCATAAAGCGGCGGTGCTTCTAGTGTCGACTTTTAGCGAAAGATAAGATCTTTCTTCAGCTCCTTTAGCAAAATATTGAAACGTGAAGAGTCCTCGAAGCTTACCGGCCAAAACGCGGAAATTCTTGCGACTTTGCGCCTCAGGGATGTTTTCAACGCTGTAGTGTGCGTATTATGTACGAGTGTGTATGTGAGGAACGTGTGTAATGCGCGCTCGTAAGGGCTGTAGCACAGCGCGAGGGCGTGCGCCTGTGTGGAGCACGCGGGGGCGGTCGTTGGCATTGGACGTGCCAAATTGTGGAAGTAATCCGGCGTGATGCACGAACAGCGCGCGAGGAACGAATCTGTCGCTTCTCGCGCCGTTACAATGTTTGTCGATCTCCTCCTACGTTGCCTTACGCGAAGAGCCGGCTGTCGAGAGAGTGCTTTGGGCCACTTCCTCGGGGGCAATATTGATCAATTTCGTGTAGTCACACACCGCTGCTGAATTTGGCGCGCGTCACGCTTGTGGCAGAGCGCGACGGCGATTCAAAGAAAACAAGAATAGTTTGCAGCACCGGCATTGACTTTGGCGTGATGTACGTCGCGTAAAGTCGACAAAACAATCTCAGATAAGCCCCGCGGAAAGTAGACAAGTAAACACGCTGTGTGCAAGTAAGCTCTCTGGATACACAACTTAAAGAAGGAGAAGAGATAAGGCAAGTGAGAGTCGAAGTGAGTTTCGACGGATATCGAGATATCTTAATTATGGCAGAATAATGTCAACGCTTGACAGTGTTGACGCACGCGCCGAACATTTTCCCCGGACTTGCAACGTGCGCGGTGAATCAACCTCCTCACCGCAGACCGACGCTGAGAATCCCAATTGTTCCTTATTATTGTTAATTAACCAATCATTACTCATTTTCTTAGTATCTCCTAATTATTAATCAACCCTCTCCCCGTGAACCTCCTATCCTGATATTTGTGTTATGAATTATCTGATTCACTTTTAATGTTACGAAAAATTATTGTCTCTGCCGGAAGACTAATTTGAACCTCTCCATTTGCCGCATGAATTCGGCTACCCCGACAGTAATTTCAAGCAACAGAATGTTTATGACATCGAACATAAACACTATTAGCTTAACGAAATAGATGTAAACAGTCTCTCGAGGTGTTACAACTTAAGCTAAGAAGAGAGATAAGGCAAATGAGAGCCGAATGCTGGTGATTCTAACTGAGACAAGAATTTTCCGCAACATTACAAATGAATAATTCATGATGCAAACATTATGGGGTTAGGATGGGGTAATGGGGAAGGGATGGGGGAGTTAATCAGTATTAACATAAAAAATAATTAGTATTCATGGTCGGCTTGACGCAAAAAGCTGATTCACCGCGTACTTTGCAAATCCGAGAAAATATTCGGCAGGTACGTTAAAACTACACGACTGGCATTGTTATCCTGTCCCATAAATTAAAATATTCGTCGCCTTATCTCTCCTTCGTTTGAGTTGCGCACAAATTAAAGCGAGCGGGGAGAAGGTCTCTCGATTAGAACAGAAACGGCGGAGACTCGATAGTCGAGAGAACACGTTATCGCGTCATTTTTCTTCTCATCGAAAACTGACGACCGCAAGATCTCGCCGCTCGCGGCTAGCTATGCTAAATTTGATTTCATTGATCGCGTAAGAATAGCGCGGGAATTAAAGGGGCGAGCATTGTGTAACCGAATTCGATAGTATCGCGCGACTCTTTCGCGGAAATGTCGTGCGAGCCGTCACGAAAAATTGCCTCAGGAAAGGGGCCGATTTTTCTCCGGAAATCAGCTTGGCGATCGGCGAGAAAGTCGTATCCTCTGGTACATATAACGCGAACATATTTTATTATATCTAGCAAAATCTCGCTTTATTCCTTTTCCCCTACCTTTTCTTTCACTCTGCTTCTTCCTCTCTCTTATCGAAGTAACGTGACTTCTCGTGGACAGGAGTAGATAAATCGACGGCGACGGAACCGAAAGCCGAGCGGACGCCGTTGCTGCAGTTCAAATCGTCGCAGAATGTCGACGGCATAGAAGCGGACAGCACGCCGTCGCTGGAGTGTTGGCTCAACGTGCCGGGTCAGGTCTGGTGGAGCACCGGCGACAGAAACCTCACCACCGTCAACGCGAATTCCAGCGGACGACTCGACATCAAGAAGGCCAGCAGGAATGACACGGGCGACTACAAGTGCATGGCGCAGACCGCCGACGGCAAATTGCTCGAGAAGAATATCCATATCAGAGTGATAGGTACGAAACTACACGACCCGCGTGTCTGCGTCTTACCTCCTCCTTCCCGTAGTTTACACAATGCGTGTGTGGATTCGGACTTATAACGCGTGTTCTCCCGCCATTCGTTGTCCGTTCTTTTCGTCGTTGCACTCCCGGCGATGGTTTGCGCTGCTTCACCTCTCTTTCCCACTAGATCCTAACTGCGCACCTGTTCCATTTCGAGTTCCGTGAGTACACATTAGTTCAGTGAGAAAAAGCCGACTTATCGTGAGGTGAAACAGGCTCGGAGGGCGCGTGTTGCTCTCGCGATCGACTTTGTGGTCTCTTTTTATGTTGAATGTCGTCTCTTGTTTTCCAGAACCCGGCAAGATAGTATCCGGCGGCGACGTGAGAGCGAATGTGACAGACTCGGCCAACCTGACGTGTCATATATACGGTTATCCATTATCTCAATTTAGTTGGTTGAAAGAGAACGATTCGGAGAGCAGCGAGCACTTGAGGAATCTGACTGACGTCACGCCGATAAACGACACTTACAGCATCCTGTACCTGAAATTCAAGAATCTGGCCAAGTCGGGCAAGGATAACGGCACGTATGTGTGCCAGGCGAGTGACTACAACGGCGTGGTGAGCACCACCGTACACCTGTTCGTCAATGACGTGCCAAAAGTTAGTATAGACTTCATGAAGGCGGTCGGCGCGGGTAGTATATATCTAAATTGGACCGTAAACGACGGCAACAAGCCTATCGAGAAGTACTTCGTCTATCATATGAAGAACGGCACGGACGGCTATGTCTACTACAGGGAGCAGATCGGCGGCGGTAACTCGAGTTATATCCTGAAAGGATTCGAAAACGGCACCGCGTACAAGATCGGCATCACGGCTGTCAATGGATTGGGCTCGTCGCATATGCAGCAAGATCCGCGGTGGATCACTACGCTTGAGAAAGGTACTCCCTTCAAGAGCTCGATGTAGCACGACGTCTCAGACTTCGGTTAATCTCTCTCTCTCTCGAATATCTAATCCCATTTGAGGAGGTTGTAAGGCAAAATAGATTTGTTGAGAATCCACTGAATCTTGCATTACAATATATCTAATTGCTCTCGCGCAATTAGAAAAAGACTAACCATTCTAGAGTTGAGATATTTGAAACTGAAGCTGACACTCTTGATACGTATTTCTTGGAACTGGCGTGTTATTTTTAATTTCTTGTAAATTAAAATTAGGACTTTAATGAAAACCTACTGTGTGTGTGAGACATTAAAAACTAATATACTTACACATAACATACATTACACATAAATCTCTGAATTATTGATCGTTTTGTTTGGGAAATACAGCAATGGAATGTTCATTTCACTTGTGTTAAATGACATTAAAAATATATTACAGATCCAGTCTTTGTGCCGAAGGTGTCTGTAAACGGTGTGACGCAGGACTCGATCACGATACGTTGGACCGTACCGCCATTGGATTTGAAGGAACACGTGCAGTATTACAATCTGATGGCCACCCATGCCGATCAGAAGAGAGAAGCGGTGTATCATGCCGAGCCGATCACTGTGTACGCCTTCATAGGCCTCGAACCGGCGACCACTTATAAGTTCAAGATAGCCGCTTGTAGCGAGTACACGAAGCAGTGCGGCAATTGGAGCGCCGAGGTGAACGGCACCACTCTGGACGGAAGTACGCTGTCAAATAACGTAGTATATTTATTCAGACGAAGTATCTAAATCATAAAATTATGATGAAAGGATCGGTCAATTGTCGAGCCAGGAAGTCTACTATGATTTCAATATCGTTTCGAGCATTTGGTAAAAAGAGTACGTTTTCTGTTCTTCCAGTGGCCAGTCCTCCGAAGAATCTCACCGTTTATTGTAGCTTCGACAACATAAGCAGGACCAGTTACATCTTTATCACATGGGATCATCCGGAGAAGCCAAATGGTGTCATACAGCGATACAGTATACAAGGGAACGGCACAGCTACGTTCAGAGATGAAACGGGACGTCTGAACAACACTAGCTTTGATCTGCCGAGTTGGAGCGTGTACAAGAAGAGCAACGCGCGATATGGTCACGCACTTCCCAATACAAATTACACGGTATATATTCTTATGTTATGTGTCTTACGTGTCTTACGTTATTATGTGTACAGTGTAGTCTCAATCACAATTCGTCTGCTTCACATTTCGTAATGATAATAATAATTCTCTCAATAATTCCTTTTCAACTAAGACTTAATCTCTCAACGATTCGTTATATTCGTTGTCTATTTTATTCGTAAAAATTACGAATCCTTCGATACTGGGTAATTTCTATCTTATTTGACGATCATGACAAACCTAATATAGATATAATACAAATTGAGATAACATCGTCACGGCACAAGTGAACTACATTTGTGTCGCGATGATATTGGTGTAATGACGCCAGACTTCATACTGAAAGTAAATCTTCGACCGAAGGTTCGTGTGCACGGAGTAACCAGGTCCCGCACTAACGGTATGGACGCCGTAGGAAACTGTACAACGCCAGTAGCCGTCCCGGATCGGGAGAATATGAACATGCGTACTTGGCGCAAGATCGAGAGCCAGGGCAGGCAATTGTTCAAGCTCTATCTGCCGCGCATCAGCGAGCGAAACGGCCCGATCTGCTGCTATCGTGTGTACCTGGTAAAATTGCCACCGCAGAAATCGGTCAGCGACCTGCCGTCTCCGGAGGAGACCGTTGTCTACTCTTACCAATACGCGCACAGCTCACCGATCGGCGGCGCCTACATCGCGGAAACGTTCGACAACGACCAGCTGTCGTCCGAGATCTTCCTCGGCGACGGTGAGTCATCCCATGGCGGTGCGATGTGCGATAAGTGTTTCGGGTTGCGTCCGAAGCCGGCGCCGCCGGTATTACACCTCGTTCCCGAAGTTCAGACGACCACCTCGACGAACAACGGAAGCAGCACCACCGTCCTCACATCGACCATGACACCGACGACGGCTGTGAGCAGCATCAGCAGTAGTAGCAGCACGACCACCAGCACGTCCACTGTATCAACCACCAGCACTGTTACCACCACCACCACCACCACTACAACCACTGTTACAAAAGTAGACACAACTACAGCCGTACCGTTGGTGAGAGAAGATTTCACCGAAAAGGTGGAAAGACGGAAAAGAGAGGACTCGCCTGTGCAGAGAGCGTCGGTAGACGGGTCCGCGGAACCCAACGTGTTTTTGTCTCACGACGGATTCTTCGACGAGACATCGAATTACACCGGTTTCATCGAAGTTATCGGTATGTATAGTAAAATATACGCTAGGAGTACGTGCGACGATAAGGTATCTGATAACCGACGATCTTTCACAGTGTTCAGTAGTCAGAAAGATCAGTTCCTAGCGGCTTATAGCAATTACTTCCATCCTCTCTACGGTGGGGTAGATCCCCTCAGCATCGCGGCCGTAGAAGTGACCACTTTAGGCGTGATACTGCAGCTCTCCATCGCTCTGATATTATTCATTATTGTTCTGCTTATCGCGCTGTGCATATTGCACAGATACACAAAACGTGCGCAAGAAAGGGAGGAGATCATAACGCTACGCAATAGCTTCAGGTGAGTACTCATCGAACCTCAATCTTTTTTCTATCTTAAATGTGAAGACTGTTATCTTGAAAACATAATAAAAATATTTGCGTGATATTTGTCAATTTTTACACAATTGTAAGTTCTGATGTCACATTAGACTGGCATAGAATTCCAGAGATAAGTATTACATACTTTATCCTTAAGAATACGCGATACTCGAAAGATTGAAGCAACTTTCGAATTTTGACCTAGGATAAATTGCATGTCACTCTTTTAAGACATTAAATTATGGTTTTGTGAAAAAGAGGACGTTTTTCACGACTTTGTGGACTGTCAATTTGATGTAACCCCTTAATGGATGCCTTTTTCTCGTAGGCATCTCTGTAGGAGTCTAAGAGGAAGACATCAGCTCGTGGCGGCAAGTCCACCAGACATGCCACCTATACCCAAGGGCGAGCTCCTCCAGGCATACCTAGAACGCCACAGAGACTCGGATTACGGTTTCCAGCACGAATTCGAACTGCTGCCGGATCGTTTCACGGACAGGACAACGCGCGCGTCCGAGGCGCAGGAGAATCTTTATAAGAATCGTTACCCGGACATCAAGTGTTACGATCAAACGAGAGTGCGGCTAGCGCAGATGGACGGTATCTGCGGCTCCGATTACATCAACGCCAACTTCGTGCTAGGTTACAAAGAGCGCAAGAAGTTCATTTGCGCCCAAGGCCCGATGGAGAACACTGTGTGCGACTATTGGCGTATGATCTGGGAGCAGCATTTGGAACTGATACTCATGCTGACGAATCTCGAGGAGTACTCGAAGACCAAGTGCGCCAAGTACTGGCCAGACAAGCGCGAGACCAAGAACTTCGGCGACATCACCGTGGAGCACGTGAAGGAGCGCGCTTACTCGGACTACGTGGTGCGCGAACTGAAGATGACGCGACTGGGCGAGCGCGACGCGCGCACGATCGTGCAGTACCACTTCCTCGTGTGGAAAGATTTCGTCGCGCCCGAGCACCCGCACGCGATCCTGCGCTTCATCAAGCGCGTCAACGAGGCGTACTCGCTGGAGAAGGGCCCGATTCTCGTGCACTGCAGCGCCGGCGTCGGTCGAACCGGCACGTTAGTGGCGTTGGACTCCTTGCTGCAGCAGCTCGCTGAGGAAGGCCAAGTATCCATCTTCAACACCGTGTGCGATCTGCGGCATCAGCGCAACTTCCTCGTGCAATCGCTTAAGCAGTACATCTTCATTTATCGTGCGCTCATGGAGATGGCGCAGTACGGCGACACGGAGATCCCGGCTTCGCAGCTCAAGGGTACAGTTGCCAAGCTCAGGCAGAGGGACAATGGCAAGGAGAAGTGTAGGATGGAGGAAGAGTATGACGTAAGTTTCTTCTTCTTTCTTTTCTTTTCTATGACAATTTGGAGCTTCAAATAAGAACGCGGCTAGGTGTTGGACAGTCCGGCAAATATACTGTCTTAGCAGTAGGTGCAATTTGTATAATTTTAATGAAAATATATATACGCGCGCGAAATATACTTTCTCGGCAATCAAGGTAATTGACGTTTTCATTTGAAGGGGGAAATGCGTTTGAATCTCCAAATATCCAAGTGAATTCACAAAGACCATACGTGTAAAAATGATTTTGCGCCACACTTTGTGCGCCGTTCCTATTTTTAGTCTCCAACTTTTACTAAAATATTTTTCGTTTGTGTATCGGGCTGATAACTTGTTCGCGAAAAAAGTTTCATAATACGCTCACCGCGCGTACAACCAATATCCGATAAAATAGAATATAAATATATCTCTGGGCTATTCGGTCGATGCAAAAACGTGCGCCGCTCCCATCGTGAGTTCTACCAACAATTTCATCGGAAAGGATTTTCCTCTTTACGTTACATAACACACGATATCGATTTTACAGAAAATCAGTTCCGTGCTGGAGGACCGAAAATCCTTCTCTGTCGGCGGCGGGGAGGAAAACAGGACGAAGAACAGAAGCGAATTAGTGATACCTTACGATAGAAATCGCGTGATACTCACCCCAGTTCCGGGCAGGGAACACTCGACATACATAAACGCATCGTTCATCGAGGGCTACGACAATTCCGAGTCATTCGTCATCACACAAGATCCGCTGGAAACTACTATAACGGATTTCTGGCGGATGATCTCGGAACAATGCATCTCTACAATAGTTATGTTATCTGACGTAAGTCGATACTATATATATATATATATATTTTTTTTTTTTCTTTTAATTTTTCTTGACCTTTGTTCGCTTTTCACGAGAAATTGTGCAACTGTATGAACGTTGCGTTAATAATACACATGGTACGCAATTTCGTACGAAGGATTTTCACGCATTCTTTTAACGCATATTTCTTTTTATTGGAAGCTTTTGTTGTGTTGTTCTTTAAATAATGCATAGATAGAACTTAATTGATGTATTTCTTTTTTTATTGAACACTTGCTTCCTTATTAGAGTTGTGCGCATGTGTAATATAAATGCTGAAGTGCTAAGTTTAATGACACACGTGACATACAAAATATTGCACAATCGGGTGAAAGTGGAGTCAGGGTCCCCGATCTGAAAAATAAAAACAGGCAAGCATGATTGTATCTCCTCAAAGAAAATCAAAATTTTCGAAATATTGTGAAATTATGCTCGCGAGTCAAGCATACAAGAGACACACGTGAAATAGAAATGTTGTTTCCAGTTAAACGAAGGCCCGCGAAAGTGCCCGCGCTACTGGCCCGATGACGAGACAGATTACGATCACATAAGGGTCCGCTACATCCACAGCGAGAGCTGTCCGTATTACACACGTCGCGAGTTTTGCATTTTGAACACAAAGACTGACGAGAGCGGAGTGGTGAAGCAATACCAGTACCACGGCTGGCCGACGGTGGAGGGCGAAGTACCTGAAGTAACACGCGGTCTCATCGAGCTCGTGGACCAAACACTCACGAACGATGCCGAGACGAGCGGCTCGTTAGTCGTGCACTGCAGCTACGGATCAGACCGGAGTTCCATGTTCGTGGCACTAAGCATACTGGTTCAGCAGCTACGTACCGAAAAGCGAGTGGACATCTTCACGACAACGAAGAAATTACGCTCTCAGAGACACGGCATGATCAGCACCTTTGTAAGTACATTCATTGTATTATTGTAAAAAAAGGTGGAACTGTGGGATATATTGGTTTATATTAGACACAAAATAATGTCCGACAAATAGTGTCAACGGATTCCAAATATTTTTCGAACTTGTTGCACAATGAATAAATCTTCCACGTCAAATTCGGAAAATATTCGGCTCGTACGTTGATATTACTGCCAGACACTGTTATATCTTCCCACAAGTTTAAAGTATTCGCACCAACAGAGCCGCGACTGGCGTTTACTTGCCGTCTTCCTCCCACTTGATTGCATACCCAAGAGGCTTGTTTGTATTAGCTCATTTGAGATAACGCACTATCGCACGCGCGTGTTACAGGCGCAGTATGAGTTCCTTCACCGCGCCATCGTGAATTACTCGGATCTGCACAACCTGGCCGACGACGAACCGGTGTCATAATGCCTGAGAACGCGAGGCTAGATCGCACGAAATACTCTGTTTGGCCGGACATGTGCGTAAGGACGTTCCGCGACGAGTGTCCGAGAGTCCACGGACGAGTTCGAACGAGTTCGTACATACGTTCGAACCAACCAAAGATGAACGAGCACGTCATCGATGAACGATCATCGCCACATCACCCTCATCTCACCGTCATCGTCATTATCGTCATCGTCGTCATCACCGTCATCCTCGTCATTAAGACATAAACGGACTGCTGGCGCACACGCGGCGCGCGAAGGTTCGCCGTGTCGTCATCTGGAGACTACTTGTACATAATATAATCCGCAAATTTTACATGTGCTGACCATAAGCAGACTACTAGAGGGAGTTAATAAACGCGCGTAATCGTCGACGAGTCGCTATTCCGTGAGGACTGTGGCGCGTTGGACGGGAATCGGAAGTCGACAAGTGGTCTACATTCATTATTACGTTATAGATTCCTGACGGGCAAGACTCGCGCGAACACGTCGCGAGGCTGTTACAGAAGCTTATTTTTTATCGATAGTCTAATGATCCAGCGGAGCGTAACGTGTCCCAGTGCGCGTCGAAGTTTCGCAATCGAGATCCGGGATGACGAGAGAGACGCTCTCGGAGCAGGGGCCGACAGGATAGAGATGTCAGGACTCTCTCTTTCTTTCTCTCTTTCTCGGTATTGCTGTGCAGCGCTATGGACTGTCGCAGTTGCGAGGGGATGGGAATGTATTTGTATAAATATGACCACGCACATATATACGTTCTTCTGATAAGTATATCGCGCTGGTCGGAGTAGTTCTTCGAATTGTTTCGCTCACGAAGCTCCGGGCGAAGCGATCAGGTGACTCTCGAACGCTACGACTACTCGCACAATTCGAAAGCAAATTACACAAGACTACTCCGAGATTTCCGTTGACAGACGCGCGTTTTTGGCACTCGTTACGGAGCTTCTCACGAAACAAAGCTGAGCGAAAATCGCGATGATCTTCGTTCGCTCCGAGATGCTCCGAGAAGGGACGGACGTTTGCCTGTAACTTGCGCGGAACCTTGCTATTTTATAATCCGCCGTAATCGGCGATATCAATTGACTGTACGCGCGTATCGCGGTATTTATATGTTCTTGGATAATATATGCGTTACTGTATTACAACACGATCTGCGCGTATCCCGCGCGCGCTGATTTCTCTTCTAAATAAAGACTGATAGTCTTATTCCCTCAGTTTGGCACACGCGATTACGCGCACCTACTTCGATCGCACAATACTGAGGTCGCCATGAATCATAATAATATCGTGGCTAGAGAGGCGGGAGAGCGAGAGAGTGGTCATCTTCTTTTTTTACTTTTCATACATAGAAAAATTGTAGGTATCGATGTATGTATGCGTACGTGATATGTGTATACGCGATGTGTGATCTTTCCGCGCCTGACGAAGCCTGTGCTGACGCGACTTCTTGAACGCACCTCGACTTTGCCAACACAGAAATCAGAGTCGTGGATTCTGCAACGCTCTGTAGAGTCGCGCAGCTAAGGATGGAATCAATTATTTATTCTAATATAGTTTGATTAATTAATTAGGAAATTAAAGATGAAAATATATATGCTTTCATGAAATATATGCATAACAATCTATTATAAAATATTTGTAAATTTTATATGGGTATGTATTATATTATGTGTACATATATATTGATACTAGATTGATTCTTTTAAACAAAACTATGCAAAATACTGCGAAATATTTTATTAACTTTTAATTACATTTTATATGATTGTGTTATATTTAATCTTGATTGTAGTAAGTTTTTGACAAGTATACATGACTTATAAGTAATTGATTTCATGGAATTATATTTAGCTACTGTATTGGGGGGGAGGAAGGATTGCGACATACGAAAATATATCGAAGTTGATTCCATCCTTACGCACACAGCCCAGTTATGCGCCCTAAACATTATTGTATCATCGGATCTTTCTTCCTCTATCACTGACATCGCTTAAAAAATGTTATGTTGCGACGTAGCGCTTAAAAAAAAAAAAAAACGATAAACGAACGGAAATCGCTCGCACGAGTCTGACTTAATTCGTAATGAGTGGCGTCGAGTTGAAAGGCCCGCATTCGCATTCCGCTTTTAGCGAATCTACGGTTTATTTGTCTAATATGAATATTTAGTGTTAACGGAAGTCGTATAACACGTGACAAGCACGTTTGGTGCGAGATACGATCTGTGAGCAATGGCCAAAAAGACGGGGTTGGGCGGAAAATATCGTAAAAATGTTATTTCATATATAAAAAACAAATTCCGGCAGACCTGCTTGCGGACATGTGAATAATAAAATTTCACAATGGGAAGGAAAGACAAATGTGTGTGATTTACGATGTGTTATACTTAATTTACATCCTTGAGAATCTATTCCAAAAATACTTAGTACTACATTTTATTAAGTACTACATTTTATTAACTTGGTGAAGTATTTTACATGTAATTTAAGACAAGTGAAATAATCATTGGATATTTCTAATAATCAGCATATATAGTTGAAACGCCGCCCGACCCTGTGAGGAAGAGACGACGACGGGAAAATTGGCGACGTCGATATAAACAAGAAAAAGAAAAAAGATACACGAACTTGTGTAGTTTAAGTGGCAAAAGAAGAAAGGAATAGAATTGTGCGTCTAATTTCTTCGCACGCTCGTTCAGTTCTAGTCAAGTTTAAGCTCCAGCACGTGCGCTGCCAAGCCATAGTGTTCGCAGGCAGGAGACAATCATGTTAATTACGATTCGCAACGTGTCGCCCGATCATTTTCTTCCCCTTTTTTCTTCTTCGCATCAGGTATCAGTCTCATTTTATTTTTTCTCCTCTTTCTTTTTTTTCTTTTTTTTTTACTAGAGGCCCTTCGATTGGAGACACTGAAAGAGCGCCTCCTTGATTTCGCGTTTAAGAATTATTATTACTCAAATAATCGGAAAAAGTTACAAAAAAGAATTCTATATCCGAAAAAAATTACAATTTTCCGCGAAGTTTTGTACAAAGTGAAGAAACCAGAGGAGCTTTGTTCTCATGATAATTGTAGTGGACAATCATATAAAAGTTGAAATGCAAAGAAACTACGTACTCATGTGTGCTTGCTTTTTCGCTTTTTAAAATTTAGGGAGACTTGTGAGATCTACGTGAGATCTTCTGAGAGGCACTTGAGAAGAATGAAATCTCACTCTCGACGGTTCTGATCATCCGAGATACCGCCTCATTTTGTGACTCACATTGAAGGGCCACCGATCTTAATTAACGTTAAACGCGCGCCCCATATTGGATGAATGTGTCCCGCCTTATGACGCGAGAAATGGATATATTAGTTTTTAGTCGTTACCGCATAACAAACTCGCTTCGGTTACGTTGTAGTTAATAGAATCTCTAAGAAATAGATAGATACTCGCCGCAGCTGTATTTATAAATATATTATATGCAGGGTGTTAAGAGAAAAGTATTCAAGACTTGTAGAATAGAAAATACTCAGTAAACATGAGCCGAAAAATCAACCCTTGTAAAGTCAGAAGCAATTTTGATGATATACACGATTAGTTTACTTAATCGTTACACGTTTGCGCTGTGAAAACAGAAGATTATCTCATGACATCTTATTACCGTGTTTGCGAAAGATAAATAATTTTACATCTCCATTTTTACACGCATTTCCCAAGATTGTATTATCATTTTACTTCAATATTAAGCAGTTGTCTTTGTAGTTAAGAACTGATTTTTTACTCAGTTTAGTAAGTACTGTCTATCCTACAAGTTTTGAACCCTTTTTCTTAACACTCTACATGTACATATAGATATATATATAATATATATATTGTTATTATCGCGCGCCTATATCGCTGTTGCTATTTGTATCGATAAATGGTGTGACAATACTTGTTTCGTGCCGATATCCCGTTGTTATACACATGTACGTTCTCCGCAGGGTCATCCGACATTTCGTTTTTACCGATCAGTTAATCAGTTGACACCTGATTGTACGATTATTCTGTGCTTCTTCGATTAGTTTTTTACACGAGCACAATGAATAAGAATGAAGCGAATAATCCTTGGGGCGAGAGACAGCGAAGGCATTCGTTTTGCGTTGCAGACTGCGAGACAGTGCTTTCCTTTTTTTTTTATTCGCACGCATCCGCAGAATTTGATACGATCTCTTTTACAATCATCTTGGCGCAGGAGCGGACGGTTTTTAATGACTTTATATTTTTACTATGAATAATTGCTAGCGAATAATAATATATACTTGATAACGTAATTGTATTGATGACGAGTCATTATTCTCTCACGGAGTACTTTTCCTTTGAAGAGAGCAGAGAAGAGATGTACCATACCGCACGTTTATTCACGCGACTCATTGATTGGCGGCCTCCTTTGCAGCTGTGACTAATGTAATAACGCGTCGATCTGATCGACTAATACGTGCTGTAACGTGGAGACGGAACCTCTGCGGTAATAAACAGCGAGAATTCAAAGCCGATTAATCATTTTCGAGCAATTGTCGCGCTGCGATCGCTGGTCATGAACCTTCTGCACCTTATTTTCTGCGTATTTGTTGCGTCGCATTTTTGTTCACGGACTTGTAATGCTGTGTCAAGACGCAACAGACGGAGGATTCTCGTACAATTCGAGGACTCGTACGTACGATCAACTCGTTTCGCAACGATCTTTCAGTTTTTGTATCGTCGAGCAGTCTCTGGCCAGTGAACGCCAACTAACAGTAACATCGTATTGACCTCATGTTAAGTAACATCACATTAGGAGTTCCTTCCGAGACGTTGTAACAAGTTAACGTGTGACGCAGCGCTGATTGAGTGAATGTAACTGGAGATTATATATCAATATTTGAAGCAAATAAGAATACAGATATAAGAGGAAGAAAGGGAATAGAGGAATATGATTATTTATCTTAGATTAAGGGAATAAAGAAAATAATGTTAAATAGTCGCAAATATTCTCGGGAAAGACTGACACGGTGGGGAGATTATCAAATTTAAAAAAAGACACGTTAAGCTTTAAAGCTTTAAGCATGGGTGAGATTTATGCAGATCAATTTTTCCAACACTACCGTTCACACATACATCTGTTTTGTTCTTTTTTCAACCTTGAGACAGAAATATTAATCGAAGCATATTCCTCGAATTAAACAATCTAATTAAAAAAAATATATATATAACATTAAATTTTGATCATTTTTATAGGAGTTATGAACAAAAAAGATGCGTTATGTAAAATTTATCCATGTTTAGAGTTCATTTAACTTTTTAATGTTTGAGATAATGTTATAATTTCTCACTTAACAATACGTAGCTGTTATGCACAATGTGTTATATTGCATTTACATTGCTGAGTGGGAAATTGTAACATTAATGTAATGTCACTGTTAGTTGGTGTTTGTACTGAGCGATGCGCCTAATTGACGCGAGAGAGGACGACCTAGGGGGAAGCGCTCAGCGCAACACTCTGCTGACTCAATAATTCGTTATCCGTGCGACGGTCTTGCACGAGAGTTTCGTTTGCGTCGGGGATTTCGAGATATCTGCTCTGTATACTTGACCACGATCCTCATGCGACGTTTAATTTCGGTAGAGATAAGCAAGAGAGGGAGAGAGAGAGAGAGAGAAAGAACCATTCCGCCAGAGATTCTTCGGTGAGACGGCGAGGTCAAGCCGACGTAATACTTAACTACAGATATGAGCGATGAAGTGTCGTTTTAAGGAGTAGAATTAAATTTGTATTAATAAATGGACGAGAGAATTACTCGTAAACCGTTGTGTGTGAGCGACGTAAAGTGCAAAAGAGATTCGTGTTCGTTTCTGTGGGCCCAGAATGCGTGAACAGTCTTGCGAAAGATAGGCGAATCGAGAAAGAGAGAGCGAGAGAGAGAGAGAGAGAGAAAGAGAGAAATCAGGCTGAAAATTCGCTTCTTCGTGAAACGTTGCGAGGTTGTAATTTTCGAGATCGGAGATCCTCTATACCCGTCGTTACCTCTCTTGATCTTCTATTCTCTTTCTTCTATTCCTTCTTATTCATTTCCATTCTTCCGGCGAAAAGGAACAGTTGAGTTCTGTAATAATAGTGAAGATACGCTGGAGCGACGCTCCTCTCCGTTCAATTTTTAAGTTGTAGAATGAAGAACTCAGTCTCCTTTCCGATGAATTCCCGTCGATCTTATCTCGTCCGAACGCGACAGATGTCAAACGAGCAAAAGAAGCGAGATCCAATTTTCAGCGGCGTTTCGAGCGAAATGATACGGGATACACGGAGAAAACAATGTTGTGCTGGTTGAGAGGACGTCGCGGTTTGCAAATAAATCTTGGTTCGATTGCAATGTGTGTTACTGGAACCAATGCTCGAGTTATTTCGCGGATTCGCTCGATCAATTGCAAGAGTGTCATTTTACAGCTACATCTTTTGATCTCTACGTATTTTGAGCGTGAGTTTTCGTGCTCTTGTAACGTTATAAATCTCAAGATGACCGTAAGCACTCAGAAGCCTTAACAACTCGAGTATCACCTCCAATAACATTGCTATCGAGTCAAGGGGGTTTACTTCAACCACGCGTGCTGTTGACCAATTCTACCGACTCGACGGCACTTTTTTCCCGTGTAAATATGCCGAATGGTAAATGACGTTTCTCGACTGAGAATAATTATTCTTTTATTGCTCATATGTATGGTGTAACGGAACTAACGTACTTTCAATCGCAGGAGGAAATTTAGACCTACACACGTTGCACACTCGGTAAGATCCGAATACACACACACACACACCCATCTGAAATACATACTAATCGCCTACTAATTAGCATGTTCCGCGTGATAATTTCTTGATAAATCGGACGATTGCGCGCGCGCGATCCTTCCTGGACACGCGCACGCGCACGCGCACTCTTACCGGGGTCGAACAGGTCCCGCGCGTCGACTGTCGCTCTAAATGTAACTCTATTTTTACATTGAACATTTTTACATTCGAAAGGAGAACGGAACGTAGCTGCTCGTCCACGAACGGAGAGGCGATGGTTTGCTTGAGGCTCCTGGTCCCTCGCGGTGACGTCAGGAGCGAGAAGAAGCATGCCTAAAATTTTTGCATGTTATTTTTAAATAAAAAGATAGCCGAATGAAGAAACAATTCAGACCGTTGGAATATGCCGGCAAAATGCTTCAAGAACTATTATTGTCCCTTGATACAGTAAATAGCCGTAAAATTAATTAAGATATCAAAAGTTGCATTTCCAAAATAGACATTTGACTGAAGTCACGCCAATGTTCCTTCTCGATAAAAAGTCACGAAACAGTAAAACAAGATATGTAGAGAAGAAGGAAGGTATATACGTTTATAGATCTATGCGATAAGAGGAAAGTTATTTATACAACAGTTATTAACTCTAACCTTTAATTAAATTAATAAGCTAACGTAAATTTAACGACATGCAATCTTTCTCTTTCTTCAATCTATCTTATAATTTTGTCACATTTATTTTACGGTTGTTTCTTGACTGTCAAGGGAAAAAGGTAATTTTCAGAGCATTTTGCAATCATGTTCAAGCGATCCAAAGACTTCTTTCATTCAAATATTTTTTTATTGAATGGCACGTCAAAATTTTGAGCATGTGGATCATTTCTCACCTCTGACGTCACGATTCAACATGTTTATGGCGAGTACTCAGGAGCAGTGTTGTTAGATGAGCCTCCTTTCCGAGTATATGCTTTGAATATAACATGAATGTGACATTAGCAGAGTAAGTAGTGCGACTATTTAAAGATGCTATGTGTAGCCTCTATTTGGATGTTCTTAAGAAGTTACTTATAAATTTTCAAAAAACTTATAAGAATCTATATTCAGAATCTACTTATTTATTCTCTAGCGACAGGAGAATTCTTCCATTGAATAAGACAAAAGGCGTTTCGAAATTCACATAAAATGGACAACCTGAATTAATCTTTTCTGATATGCGAAAAGGAAGTTCATCTAACAATTAAGAAACCTTAACTCAGGACGGGTGTCTAATGAGGTCTACCGGACCGTTCGCGGCCAGGAAGAGTGGAGCAAATTATTCACACTTACATACACATACCTGCGATGAGGTTCGATAATATATGCTCAGCTATTTAGCGACAAGCTCTGGTAATAATTAATAAAAAAAGTCTCGATACTGAAGTTCCCATTAAAGTCGCATGCGTGTAAAATTACTTGTAACAATACCAGGCCTACAAGCGCGAGGGGATGGAAAAGGCGATAAACGAATGTGATCCTCGTCACACCGCGCTATATTCGCGCCACTTGCAATTCGACATTTCTTCCCGAAGAAGAGTCGTCAGTTAAATGTAATTTTTTGTTTTTTCGTTTTTTAATATTCTTTATATTTTTCGTTTTTTAATTTTCTTTACACTTATATTTTTACGTTGAATTTATATTTTTTTTTCACAATTCCGACAAAGAAGATCTCAAAGATACCAAAAATCATTTTCAAAGTAGAGATTTGATTTAAGTTGCGTTAAAGTTTCCTCGCGGCAAAAGTTCATGAGGAAGTAGAACGAGATAAAAGGAAGAAAAAAGAAGATATATTCGTTTATAGATCTATGCGATAAGGAAACTCATTTACGCAGCAGCCACTAACTCTAATTGAGATGAACTCCATCGAGAGATAACTCTATTTCCTTAAATAAAATTGAGGCCGCGCTATATAGCGTAGAGTGACACTTCTTGCCGCCTTTCCTGCGTTATCACTAACTAATTAACACGAGGGAGTACCTCAAATATGCAAATCGCTTATGTATGATTACTACGTACTTTTATTGTTACATAAAAAAAATTACTATCCTCTTTTTTTATTTGTTTTAACGCTTGTGATAATACTTTCTGTGTGTATTTTCACCCGGATATAATCGAAGAGAAAGAAACATCTCTATGAGCAAAGTTAATCAATTTTGCTGACGAAAAGCGAAGTCATCCTTTAGGAATAAATAAAATCTGTCTGAAGTTACTTTTTCTCTAACATTTCTTGCGAAGATTAACTACACGAGAGGCTCGAGAGCCTAATCGACGTTTCTTTCCTGATTTAAGGCGTTCCCTTGCGAGTGATAATTTCTCAAGGTGTACATTAGAGGTGCACACCGTCACGACTGGAACGTGTTGCGCGAATGACAAAGGAGAGCGTGGCCTGTCAGGACGTATGCGTAACGTGTGCTATGTATTTAAGAGATCTGTAAGGAGACGGCGGTTACACGCGAAAAAGAAATAAAAATAGCAAACAGT